CAAAAAGTGCTGTACATCGCATATTGGCTGAAAATTTGGAGATAAGAAAGCTGTGCGCAAGGTGGGTGCCGCGCTTGCTCACAATCGAACAAAAGCAGCGTCGAGAAGATGTTGAGTTAAAGTTCGAATTGCTTCCCCACGCACCCTATTCGCCAGATTTAGCCCCCTCGGATTAGTTTCTCTTTCCAAACTTGAAAAAATGGCTCGGTGGTAGAAGATTTACCAACAATGAAGAGTTGGAGTCTGCGGTTAATGGCTATTTTTGGAGGAGTTCAACGGTTCTTACTATAAACAGGCCATCGAAGCTATTGAACATCGCTGGGAAAAGTGTATCGAGCTAAAAGTAGACTATGTTGAGAAATAAAGATATTTTTTCCCAAATTTTTTGTTTTCTTTGTTAGGTCGGATACTTCTGGAACCACCCTCGTAAAATGGTTAGATATAACAGGGCAATAGGAGCCAAGCACGGTAATTCTTGTGCAAACCAATATAGTTAACAAAACAACCTTGTTAATAATTAATCCACTTATATGTTTCGGTTCACTTTTGAGCCATTCTCAGAGACAATATGATGTAATTACAAAAAATTTTTTTTACAAATTATTTCATTTCAGTGAGCCACCTTCATATATTAACGAAAACTATAATACACATATAAAAACGAACTCTAATGACAATCTAAAATGTATTAAAATTATTAAAAAGTAAATTTGTTGGAAGCAAAAACGATTTATTGTAAAATAATAGAAGATAGCTCACTAAAACAAAAATTCATCATACAATTCGCAAATACTTAAATTCTATCGGTTTAGTAAAAAACCAGTCTTTAACCATTCAACGAATCAGTGTCAATTATATTGAAATTAATAAATAACTTTTAATACACCTAAAACATTAATCGTAAAGAAAAAGAAGAAAGAAGGGAAAAAACTCTGATATTAATTATAAGTCCAGACGGACATTAAAACCAAAACTGAATCTTTAATAATTAATCTTAATGTAACAAAGAATGTACACTGATTAGCTGGCAATAACAACGTTACGATATTTAGAGCGTCTAAAATTAGTAGGAAAATAGGCCTTGGGGAACTCTTCCAAATCTGTCTGCAGGATGAGGCCACGTGTCTATTTCCTGATATGTAGCATCTCTGACACCAATCTCATTTTGTACTGGTTCCTCATCCAAAATTGCAATATTTTCTCAATTGAACTCGTGATCCTCTTCCAATCGGTGGTCAGTTATGACCAAATGTGTGGTTGTGTTCCACCGAATATGATTCCTGTGCTATTCTCGTCTTCAGCTGTCTTTCTGTTTGTTCCACGTAGCTCGCATCGCAATCTTTGCAACAGATATCTAGTATATCATATTAGATTTCTTTTCATGCGGAAGGGGATTCTTATGTACCTTGGTGAATTCACGCAAATTATTAACACTATAAAATAATATTCTGATATCCTCGCTGTTTAATCTATTGAATTTCTCGGAAAACATTGGAATCTAAGTAAATCATGAAGGCCCCGCGCTTTCGATATTATCATTATCCCGTTTCTTTCTCTTAAAATTAATAATGTTTTTTAATTGTTTATTAATACTATCAGAAATGAATTATAATGGATTGGATAATCATTCTCCAACAAGATTTTAATTACAAAAATTATCACGATGAAATTTAAGATTCGAAAGTCACTCTATCTACCAAACCGGCAATCGTGCCCCTCTTTTGAGAAATCGGGTGATGCGACAAGAAATTCAAGTACTTCCCTGAAAATGTTAATTTATGGTTTACCAATCAAATTTGATTTTATTATTATTAATAATTAAAATAAGTAAATCCAAAAAGTTTAACCTATCGTCACTGACCTCCATGATGACTGAATCCTCAGATGCTGAAAGTTAAAAATGTCAAGAACCGAATTAATCAAAATAGTAAATACCGCCATAATTATGTCGTCTACATATCTATAATAAAAGGGTAGCGATGATCAAATCAAAGATAAAGTCTACTTTTCAAATTTCGCATGACCAGATCAGCAACAACGGAAGATAACGGAGATCCCATGGAAGTGGGATCATAGTTTTGCTTATATATAACATTATTAAAGGTGAAAAACGTGGAGTTTAAAACACAAATTCAATAGCTTTAATAAATTTGTTTTTTGATAAACAACAATTCCTAGAAATATACTGCCAATAATCATTAATACAATCGATTGCATAGTCAATCGGCATGTTAGTAAAACAACTACCCATATCCAACGAAATCAAGATATGTTCATTATTCAAATGAGAGCCATTAAATTTCTCAACAATTCTCAACTATTCTCTGTCCACTTTAGGGATATTTTTTATAATTATGCTGTGTAGGAAAATCGCCAACTGATAAAGAGGATTATTCAATGAGAAAACTATCAAACAAAAAGGGCAATTCTGTTTATGTATCTGGTAAGGCATAGATTCGCGGAAGTATCCCATCATTGCAAAGTAACATCCTGTATTTTGAATTGGATATATAATATAATCCGCATCCCTCTACTTTACAAGCATTCTCCGCAAGGCACCGTCAATGACGAAATTAAGACGCCTGGAGTTAATTATTTAAGTTTTCGACAAATTTTCTTATAGGAGCCGGGATGCCAATTTCCAACAAGTCGTCTATTAAGATATAAGGATCTACATTGTCGAAGACGCCTGTAATGTCCAAAAATACAACAACTGTTACAATGTTGAGAAACCCTGTTCGTATGTTTGTGGTGAGGATCGTGAGATTATCTGTGCAAGTATACGAAGGACGGAAGCCCGACTGAGATTGAGGAAGATAGATCGCGGAAGGATAGATTCTATAAACCAACGCAGTCTAAAGTAGATAATGCCTTCCATAAGCTTAACATAACAGGATAGCAGAGAGATAGGTCTAACCGATGTACCACCCGGTTTAGGGATAGAAATGACTAATGACTTTTTCCATGATTCTGGGAAAACTTTCTTTTCGAAGATTACATTAAAGATTTCAAGAAGTTGAAATTTATAGGATGTAGGAAGATTGCAGATAATGCCATAATCCGTTTGATCCAATCCTGGAGCCGAACGGTTGTTAACCGAGTTTAATGCTTGAATCATTTCGTCAATCGAGAGGGGATCACCAAGCCACTTCGCCGGAATCAAGTTGTAGCTATCTTCATGTTTCATAACTTCTAATGATTTAGAGCAATTGTAAAAACATGATGGAAAGCAAAGTTTGGCTATCTCATATCCCAAGAGGCTTGCGTCAAATTACAATGCGTCGAAGAGAGGCTATTCAGAGAGGATAGTTATTTCTGCTGCATTTGAATCCGTTGATGAAGGACCATATTTGCCGGGAAGAGGTTTGATTATTGAAGCTATTCACTAATTTCTTCCAACTATTCCTTTTAATTTTTAAAAGAAAAGGGTCCTGGCGCAAGCCTTTCTTTCTTTACTAAAGATGCGAAATGATTCAGAAGAAGGGTGAGAGATAAATTCTTTGAAGAGGCTGCACGGCGGTCCTCGATCGTTTTATTTTTCGCTCCATCAGAGAGAAAGTGGGAGATTGCGGGCGACAGTGGTACTGCGAGGTACTTTTTTTTTAATCGGCAAACTCCTAGCATTTTCAAGGATGCGGTTAGTGAGCCTGTTGTAGCGCACTGTGATATTGTCTGAACTCTTAGAAAAAGCTTCTGACGAGGAGTTGTATAAGATGGTAAATAATTTGTTGAACTCTTCGGGCTTAAGCGAGAGCTTGTAATAGAATTTGCGAGCATATAACAATGTGCATCCAAGCTCAGTGTTACTGGAAGATGATCGCTGCTCCCAAGGACGTGTGTTACGAACGAGTTATAAATTAGAACGAGCTGAGGCGAAGCAATAATCAAATCGATGTTAGAGATGGATGAAGACGAGGGCTGTACGAGAGTCGAGGTATCATTATTGAGGACAACCAGATCGCACTCTTCGATAGCTTTCATGAAACGCCTACCAGAATTGGATAAACGAGAACAGCCCTAATTGTAGTGATGAGCGTTGAAGTCCCCTAAAATTAATATAAGTTTATGCATTTTGATTTCGTTGACGAGACTTACATAAAAGGACGTGAAGGTATTTTGTCCAGGATATCTGTAGAGATTAACTATAATAATAAGCTCATTGGGCGAAAGTAATTTGATAATTTGGAATTCTACTGACGGATGCGACACATTTGATAGTTCGACAGTCTCGTAGGTTATATTTGCCCTAATTAGAATGTATATACCTCTGCTACCGGGAGAAGAGATATCTTTTCCAACTATTCGGAAGCCTTTAAGTTTGAAGAAATTTTCCGACTTAAGTAAAGATTCCTGGGTACAGAGAATATCATAGTCTTCAGCTATGAACTGCAGCGAGGTTAAGTTACCTCTGATTCTTCTATAATTCCACTGAACAACCTTGATCCGCCTGCGGACCTGCCCCCCCCCCCCAGCGCCTGGTGAAGAACATCACGAGCCCGTCGGCGGAGGCCCTGGAATGACGGCGTGCACGGAATTAATTCCAAAAATTGTAAACTCGATTGGAAGGGTAAGCGCTAGGTTCGAGAAACTGCGCTACGTCATCATTATAAAAACACTCGAAACATAGTAATCAGAAGGCGGATGTGAAGCTAAATCTGAGTTGTTAGAAACAGAAGTAAAATTAGGGAAAAAACTTTGGTTTTGTACGAAGGAAACGATCGCACTAATTGTTAAAATCATTATTTTTGAAGAGCATTATCAAGAAATAAGTTGAATAAGATCTGACAGCTAATTTCTATTCTCAGAGCTCTGTGAACAGTATTGGAGTGAAGGCGAGTCTTGTAGAGCAATGCCGTATTGGAAGAATATATGTTTCTACCTGAGTGCTCAAATAAGGCATTACAATGAACCTCTTTGTAAGCAAGCTTTGCACTCTCCTGGGGAGAAGCATCTCTGGGGACGCGATCTGGAAGCGCAGTAGTTCGATCCGAAGAAGCTCTGCCCGAACCTCCGCCTGGGTAAGATAAATATTCCAAGCGGACACTGTCTACGCTGCAACTTGTAGGCGATTAGACCCCAAGCGAATAGGATATGTTATTTGTTTTTTGTTCGGAACGGCATAGCCGCCTCGAACCAATAAGCATTAATCTGTACACCCCACTGTCATACTCATAGCGATACATGAGGCTTGTTCTTTTCGGCTGAATTTTTGCACCAGTTCATCTTTCTTTCTCTTCTTTTCTTCTAGAAAGAAAAAGGAAAAAGATGAAGTGGTGCAAAAGAACATTGATTGTGTTAATTATTATATTCTAACATGATTCGATTGTCACGACATAACCTAATATATATTTTATAGCTTTAAAATGCCTGGTTGTTCAACGGAGGATTGTACGAATTCTTCGGTGAAGAGATTTAAAATGGTATATTTTCCTAAAGATGTCGAAAGATGAGCTAAATTTTAATCAAAATTTGTTCACGTAAAAAAGACTTTTTTGTAAAATTGTTGCCATTTGTTTAAAAATCAATATTTAATCAAACTCTTCGTCCAATCCCTTCGTATTACAACATACTAACGCTATCTACTTGGATTTTGATTTCAGGTAAGCAGGGCTGGAGATATTGTGTACACCATAACTAATGCTGAAAAAAGGTGTTCTGGGAGATCGGCGATATCTCTGTCATTTTTCATTATTTTTAAATAAAAAAATTTGTGAAAATATATTAAAACATGCCCTTTAAGATATCGTTTTATTAATTTCAATAAATATTTATTGAACCTGCAAAAAAATTCGTAAATATCACGTAATTTTCGCGAACCTAATTACTAGGCGTAACTCTTTAAGGCATCTTTAAGACGCCTTATGTCTGTCTTTTAGTAGTTTTATTACACGTCTGTCAGACGTCATGTTAAACATATTTTAGACATTTTGATGGATGTCTTTCAGATATTTCCTATAATGGTCTATAAAACGCCTTTGAGACATTCTATAATGTCATTGTTCAGACATTTTTCAGATTAATTTTGGACATTACAATTTTTATAGATTAAATTAGGTTATATTAGTAGAGTTTCGATATACACCAGTATAAAAATCTAATAAGATTTTCATTAGATTTTCATAGTACTGGCGGTATATATCAAAACTCTGTCAATATAACTTAACCCTGACCTATCAAAATTGTATGTCCAAAAATCAGGGAATCGTATATCTTGAAACAAGGTGAAAATTACAAAAGTGAATAAATTTACTAGAATA